ATGTGAGTACTTGTTCCCCGATAATTCTGTTTATTCTCTTGAGATGTGCTACTTGTTGGGAAGACATACCATTGATGTGGTTCTCACTGTTGCTGCTTTATGTATCCTTGCTAAAGAATTCACAAGTACGTTATTTTTCTTGCAATAATTACAAAAGTTATTATAGCAAAGATTCACAGCCATTATTCACCAGAGTTTTCCACAGTAGTTAAACTAGTAAGAAACTTCCACTTTTTTGGTAGAAAGAAAGTACAGAAAGAGAAGAACACCATGCTTGGTAAAGTGGAGGGCCAGAGAAGGGGACGGCCCCTAATAAGATGGGTTGACACAGTGGCTGCAACAAGGGACTCAGGCGTACGCTAAAGTGTGTCCACTGGGCAGTGTTTCGTTCTGTTGTGCACAAGGTCACTATGGGTTGGAACCAACTCAGTAGCACCCCACAACAACACTGTCCTTTAACAAGCATACTAGGGTCATGGATAGATCATATTCTTTGGGGCATTTATTTCTAATATACAACACTTAATGGGATTCTTATTATTAAATTCAGACCATGAAGCATATTCATTTGGGTTTTTTTCCCTAGAGAGTATAAAACATACAGTTGTGCTATGGATTTATATTTGATATTTATAACCATCCAAAAGTCCTTAAGAGTCTAGTTCATAAACTCCATAATGATAAAGGTAATATGTGCCCTCTCTCCTCAAAGTGACACAAGGTAAGACTTATCTTCACGTGTAGTTTATATTTTGTTAATTAGTTAGAAACCATAACTTATCCAAAGGCACGTTGAAGTTGAGTATCAGACTAAAGGCAAATTCTCACTTGCAAATCTCCTATTAAAATGATAGAGCTTTAAGCAACAAAGCCCACATGGAAGAAGCACACCAGCCTATGCAACCACAAGGTGTCGAAGGGATCAGGTGTAAGGCATCATCAGAACAACCATAGTGAATGTTGGGGGGAGTGTGGAGTGGAGATCCAAAGCCCATTAGTAGGCCACTGGAGATCCCCTTGCAGAGGGGTCTCGGGGAGGAGATGAGCCAGTCGGTGCGATGTAACAATGATGAGAAATACAACTTTCCTCTAGTTCCTAAATGTTTCCTCCCCGCTCCCACTACCATGACTTGAATTCGATCTTGCAAGTCTGGCTAGACCAGAGGAGGTACACTGGTACAGATAGGAACTGGAAATACAGGGAATCCAGGATGGATGAGCCCTATAGGACTAGTGGTGTGAGTGGCAAAACAGGGAGGGTAAAGGGAGAATGGGTAGGGAAGAGGGAACCGATTACATGGAACTGTGTGTGACCTCCTCCCTGGGGGACAGACAACCGAAAAGTGGATGGAGGGAGACGTTGGACAGGGCAAGATATGACAAAATACCCATTTATAAACTATCAAGGGCTCATGTGGGAGGGGGAAGCGGGGAGGGAGGGGAAAAATGAGGACCTAATGTTGGGGGTTTAAATGGAGAGAAAATGTTTTGAGAAACGATGTACAAATGCGCTTTACACAATTGATGTGTGTATGGATTGGGATAACAGTTGTATGAGCCCCTAATAAAATGTTAAAAAAAAAAAAAAGAAAAGAAAAAAAAAAAGAAACATTAAAAAAATAAATAAAATGATAGAGCTTTAAAAATCCACTGAAGTCAGTTACTGTTTAGTGTCCGTCAAGGCAATGTTGATTAAATTTACTTCTCACAATTTCAGATGATTTCAGTCTATGCATTTGAATTCCGTTCCCCCTCTCTGGTTCAAGGCTTTGTAAAGAATAGAATAGTAGTCTGTAAGACATATTTGGTATCATATTCATTGTCTTCCAATTCAGTATATCAATTTCAGATCAGAAAGAAGTGATAGCAGAAAAAATGTCATCAGTAAGCACTGTTGGGCCTCACAGTGATGCTCTTGTACTGGCTCTCACATGTCGTGAAACACCTTGGACATTTCCACTTGAACTTGTATAGTAAATATAGTTATGCTCATTTCTTTGTAACCAAATTAGATGAAAGCCCATCTTGTTTTTAAAAAGCTGTTTATGAGCAGATGTAAGCAATGCAAATACCTAGTTTGAGAAAAAAATATTTTGTGACCAGATGTCATCATTTATGAGTGAATTATGCAAATGCATAAATGAATAAGAAAATACAAGTGTAGGTGTCCTTTTATTACTCAGAAGTTATGACTACTTTAATTTGCTTTCTTTAAACTGGCAGTAGAATTATGCCAGTAACCTTTGGAAAGCTTACATAATTTGTATGAATAATAAAGCTACTGAGATTGACTTAGTTCTGTTGGGTTTCACTAGCAGAAAGTTTGTCAGTGTGTTCTAGTTCTAGAAAACTCACTATGTTCCCTGGATTCTCCTGTCCTCAAAGTTCCTGGGACCGTAGTCACTGGTAGTTATGTTGTGCAAAAGTTTACACTTGAATTTTGCACAGCAGAAGACTTATTGCTTCTCTATCTTACTATAGATATCCTCAGCAGCTTTGAGGCTTCATTCAGTGAAGACCTTTGCTCTTTCCATGATAGGCTTTTATATCAAATTAAAAATATAGTTACAGCTAGAGTACTTAGTATTTACCAGATAATCTTACCATAAAAGATGGTTATATTAGCATTCCTGATTTAAATATGAAATACAGAAAGATTAAGTAGCTTCTCTAATGTTACATAGTTAATAAGTGCTAGAGGCCAGTACAAATCTGTCAGTGTTATTCTACACAGTATACTCTAATTTTTATGCTACATAATCCTATCCCTCAATCCTTGAGTTAAACATTCACTTAACATTTTACTTAAGCAATCGTGAACAGGGCAGTGCTTTATTTTAACGCTGAATACATTGATTTTAAATGTTATCGTAACTCACCAAAGCCTAGATTTGGGAGCTATCTTTTAAGTCTGTTCTTTCTTTAATAAAATTGGAAATTATTTGGGATTTGATAGGAAGTTTCTTTAAAGATTATGTCTTACTTGGGAGAATACAATTGTTAAAAACCTATTCAAAATTTATAACTGTGAAATTATAGTTTAAAAATTAAAATAAATTAGGAGATTATTTTGATTCATTTGCTAACAGTTCAAGGGCAGGGTATGTTGGCTAACGGATTCAGTTGCAAACAGGCTCATGGAGCATTTCCGGTCTTGACTGTAGTTTCTTTTCCTTATCTTGTTGGTGTTGTTTGTTCATTCCTTTTGTAGTTATTACATTAAAAAAATAAAAGAAATGAAAAAAATAATATGGCATGATCCCCAATAAATATTCTCTGAGGGGGGAATTTGAATTAATCCCTGTGAGGTTATGAACTAACGCTGGTGTTAGCTTTTAGAAACACCCATCATGTTTGTTGCAGACAGGGTTTCAGAGCATTTCCAGTGAATCCAGAGAAAGCCTAGTTCCGGGAAGGGCATTCTTTGCATCACGAGACTTTTCTGTTGTGTTTGCCTTAAGAAAAGACAGACTTAGGGCTGTTTTCATTGTTTGTTTATTTATTTTTTTCCCAGTGGGAATCTCTTTCTTGCAAATTCTGTTGGCATTTTCTCAATGGAGAACTCCTGGAAAGCAGGTCATCTGCGTGTGCTCTGCCTACTAGGTCAGGCTTTAAATCTACAACAAATGACAGAGCTAAGCAAACTATGTGAAAATACAGCCATAACATTCATTTTATATATATACATTTATAAATATATATGTATTTATATATATATGTATTTATATATATATATATATATATAAACTTCAAGTTGTGAGTAAGAAGACTGTTTTCCATAAAAGTTCAGTGATTCTTGTTTTTGGCCAGAACTTAGAAAAGCTGGGGAAATATCAAGAAAAATAACTTTTATCAAAAAGCAAATTAGTTTTTAAAGCTGGTGTTAATTGGCAGCCAAGGTGTTTCATTAGGAAGCTGAATCTTTAACAGTTGTTACTTGGCTACTACGGTACGAAAACACCAGCCAGAACACAGTACAATGTGAGAGATGGTTCTCTTATCAGCACTTCCTCTACTTTTAAAACGCCTGTGTGCTACCTAGAAACTGCTTATGTTGGTTGTTTATTCAACTTTGTTTCTTGATTTGATGCAAATTTTATAATGAACAAGTTCAGGGACGATCACTTTAAAACTGTAGGTGTCATATTTTGTTGTTTTTCAAATCTCTGCACTTGAATAAAAACGCAAGACCTTAGTGGGAGAATTGCTATTTCTTTGTAACCCAGAGCATAAAGCAAAACCACAGGAAATACATAAATTGTAACCAGAGAGATGATTCTGTTGCATGAAGCAATACGAAACACAGTGCTTCATCTCCATGTGTGAGCACACCTACTGCTGATATTTTGAAGAAAAAACATCTGAGGGCCATAGGTAGAGAAGTCTGTATTTATTTTCCTCTCTAATAGTGAGCAGCATGAAGAAGTCTTCTCTCAGCACAGAACACATCTAAACCTCCTGGGAGTATGTTTGCTTTGATATATTACCCATTTAGACATTTTCACTAGCTGGCTAAAAAAAAAAATTTACTCAGTGAGTTCTCAAGCCATGGGCAACACATTCTTATATTGTTCTGTTGGTAGTTATTTGCCTAATCCCTGTTGTGTTCTGCAATCCAGCGACAGGGTTTATGGTGATGTGGAGGAAAACATTTTTTTCAAGTGAGCGATGTGGTATAAGTTTCAACAGTTCTCCAAACAAATAATTTAATGATGTGACTTTAGTTTTAATGGAAACTTCTGCTGTTGATTCTGAGCAGCAAACACAGCTCTGTTTGTTGTCCTTCGACACAGAAGCAGGTTTTCCTCTTGTTTTCCAAAGGCTCAGCTAGGGTTTTACAGAACAAAATAACAAATGCTTCTGCTGTCACCTGTCACAGGGGAGGATGGGACAATACTGAACTCTTGCTCACTGCTGATCCCTGCTTGCTGGGCACCATGTGCACACGGATTTCTGACAGCACTGCCGATTCACGAGAGACCTCTGTCGTTCTGTTGTAGGCAATGGTCGAGACAGTTAACAACCTCCTTCAGCCGCAGGCTTTGAATGCGTGGAGAGACCTGACGACTGGCGACCAGCTGCGTGCAGCCACCATGCTGCTGGACACGGTGGAGGAGAGTGCCTTTGTGCTGGCGGATAACCTTCTGAAGACAGACATTGTCAGGGAGAACGCCGACAATATTCGTAAGTGGTCCTTTAGGCACACATGGTCTGGAGTCATTTTCACAGTAAAATAAGGAAAAGAAAAGGCGCATTAATGGTGTCCCAGATATCCTGGTAGCTGTTTTATTGCAATGGCAATGAATTATGATTCTTGTATAATTAGGAAGTGATCATTTGCTATTGACTCAGGTGTGTTCTCTTACTCAAGACATTCCTGTATTGACTGTGTTAGCCTGAGATGACTCTCAATGAGGGTCTTGGTTTTGTCTCCCCCCCCACATTTTATTGGGAACTCTATAATCCATAGTTCAGTTACATCAAGCATGATTGTACAATTATTGCCACCATCTTTTTCAAAACATTTTCTTTCTTCTTGCACTCATTGGTATCAGCTCCCTTTATCCTCGCCCTCCCCCACCTTCTCCTCCAGGAGCAGTTGTCATTATATTAAATATTACTATTGTTATTCCTTACCCCACCCCACCCGTGTATCTTACACCATCCAATGCATCTGTTCACCTGCTATTCTGTTTTTCATTCCCCTCGAGTGGGGTTAGATAGTCATCATTATAATCAGTTCCTGTTTCTTTGTTTTATGTATGCATTTATATTATAAATGTTTTAGTATATAAACGTTTATCCTCCTAACAACTTCAGTTGCTAACCATAGTTCAGTGGCCCAAACCCACCAGCCACTGTGCAAGGAAAGGGTCAGTCCATCTGCTGCCTTAAAGACTGACAGCCTAGGGGGTGAGGGAGGGGGGAAATGAGGAGCTGATACCAAGGGCTCAAGTAGAAAGCAAATGTTTTGAGAATAATGATGGCAGCAAATGCACAAATGTGCTTTGCACAATGGATGGATGTATGGATTGTGATAAGAGTTGTCTAAGCCCCAAATAAAATGATTTAGCAAAAAGATTTACAGCCTCAGACACCCTCTGGGGCAGTTCTGCCCTAAGATGTAGGTCACTTTGACTTACAATGCACTCAACGGAAGTGAGTCTGGTTTTGATGGAAAATGCAAGCTTTATGGTTTGTTTTAGGTAAAACAAGAGTGCTCTTGAATTGTATACTATCAAGAAATTTATCAGTTAAATGAAGGTAAAACAATTCCTGATTACTGAGTTATTTGGCTAGTAAATAGGTACATTTTTTATTGTATGTAAACATAGAGCTAACAATTTTATTTCAGATTTTATAAAGTTGTTTTATACTGACTAGATTAAAAGATAAATCAATAGTGCATCTGTTCATGGTGAAAGGTTTTTTTATTTAATTCATAAAATAAAGGTAATATCTTTGTCTATAATGAAATGTACAGATTTGGACTTCAATTTTAAAATTTGAACCTTATTATTGATCGATGAAGGGCCTTGATCTATGGCGGGCCTTAAAAATTATTGATTATTGATCTATGACGGGCATGGAAAAAGCAATTATCTTTTAATTCCATTTTCCCACCAACTTTTTGAAGCCACCATATATTTATATTCTTATTTATACCGCCTTGCTCTTGTTATTGTTGTGTGCTATCAGGCGAATTCTAACTCACAGCAATCCCTTAGGACAAAGTACACGGGGCTGCTCAACTTTAGGGAAGAGATTGCCATGTGTTTTCTCTAGAGAGCCACAGGGGGGTCCAAATCAATGCCCTGCCTTTAATCAGGCAAGCACTGAACAATTGTACCTCCAGAGTGCCTGTATGGCTTTATATGTTAGTGGGTTTCTTCCCCTTTAATTTATTTAATTTGAGAATAAATAAAATAGGAATAGGATACTTACACTTACTTAAAACACTGAAGTATTCCATAGCTCATTGAGAAATAAAATATATTGCCAATGTCTTAGTTTGAGAAATATTGCAGCAATTTAGAGTACTATGATCATTTTGGCATGTTTCTTACAATGGGCATCTATCTCTCGTCTCTTAACAGAATTGGAAGTTGCAAGGCTGAGTACAGAAGGAAATTTGGAAGACCTAAAATTCCCAGAAAACACAGGCCATGGGAGCACTATCCAGCTTTCGGCAAATACATTGAAACAAAATGGCCGAAATGGTAGGTTCTTATTTACTGTTTAGGCTTGGTGAAATTAAACCTGCCATCAATTCATTGGTTCTTTTCTTGGAATATCAGACACGTTATCAAGCACTGGCCCCTCTCCTCCTCTCACTTTATTTTTCCCTTTCATCTCTTCCCCTCTTGTTTTATCACCTACCACAACATCAGTATTGCAGTGATATTTGTTCCATAAAATTCTCCAACAGATTAGAAAAGAATTTAATGATACACTTAAAGATATATACATGCAAATGCATTTGCATGTATATATCTTTTTTTTTTTTCTGGTTCTTTTTATTTTTTTAACATTTTATTAGGGGCTCATACAACTGTTATCCCAATCCATACACACATCAATTGTGTAAAGCGCATTTGTACATCGTTTCTCAAAACATTTTCTCTCCATTTAAACCCCCGACATTAGGTCCTCAGCATGTATATATCTTTAAGTGTATCATTAAATTACTGCCAATTTTAATGGTGTGTTCATTCATTTTTTTGTTGATTTGAAATAATGCTTTAAGTATTGTGTGCCCATAAAAAGTTATATGCGTATATACACAAACACACAGATTTAAGTAAAAAAGTATTGCTACTAGGGTTCAAGTTTACCTATGTGTGGTGTTATTTGAAACAAAACACATTTAAACATTGTTCTACAATGAGTGTATGATAGTAATACATAAGTTGATTCTGTAATACATTTAATAACTCTGTAATACTACCAATGGCATGCCTAGATATTGTCTTGTTATGATGCCTTAAGAAAGCCCAATTAATATGAGGATGGGGGTGCAAAGGGAGGGAAAAAAGAGGAGTTGATACCAAGGGCTCAAAAGAAAGTAAATGTCTAGAAAATAACGATGGCAACATATGTACAAATATGCTTGATACAATTAAGATATGGATTGTTATAGGAGCTGTAAAAAAAAACAATAAAATGATTTTTAAGTAAAAAAAAAAGAAAGAAACCCCAATTAAAATAGTATCTTCTGAGGTGATGTGTTGGACCAGTTCAATTAAAGGCAGAAAAATCAGCCCAGAAATTTATGGTGCCATTTTTTTTAATTCCCAAGGAGTCACCTTAGTAGATATTCCTTAAAAGATATGAAGAATCACCACATTTGCTTATGCACCCATTTTCTCTTCAGCAATTGTGTAGGGAAGGTGAGCATCACAGAATGCCAGATTGTTAAAACAGAGTGTTCTTGTGTTGAGGAAGTACTTGAGTTGAGGCCCAATGTCCATCTGCAACCTTAATTCTTAACATGTAGATATGATTGATATATATATATACACACACACACACACACACACACACACATGCCTGTATTTAGGCCCCTATAAATGTCCTTTGCCTCCTGGTTCTTTCCTCTATTTCCTTTTTATTTCCCTTTTGTCCTACCATCATGTTCAGCCTTCATTTGGGTTTAATAATTCCTCACTGCTGGTACAGGTAGGAACTGGAAACACAGGGAATCCAGGGAGGATGATCCCTTCAGGACCAGTGGTGTGAGTGGCGATACTGGGAGGGTAGAGGGAGAGGGTTGGAAAGAGGGAACCGATTACCAGGATCTACATGTGACCTCCTCCCTGGGGGAGAGACAACAGAAAAGTGGGTGAAGGGAGACCTCAGACAGGGCAAGATATGTCAAAATAATAATTTATAAATTCTCAAGGGTTCATGAGGGAAGGGGTAGCGGGGAGGGAGAGGGAAAAAAATGAGGAGCTGATGCCAGGGGCTTAAGAGTAGAGTAAATGTTTTGAGAATGATGAAGGCAATGAATGCACAAATGTGCTTTACATAATTGATGTATGTATGTATTGTGATAAGAGTTGTATAAGACCCTAATAAAACTATTTTTTTAAAATGAAAAAAAGTGCTAAAATTGATTTTGGTGATGATTATATAGCTCTTATTAATATGATTGAACAATTAAAGGGAAAAATTTGTGAAATATATACCAATACTTTTTTTAAAAAACTTTGGAAATCTCATAGAACAGATATTCTATACTTTGAATTTCCTTTAAATATCTTTTTAAAATTCAAATGCAAATTACATAATACCTACCATTTTACAAACCAAAGCAAGCTACACCTTTTGCTACTAGGTAACTCCTACTCATGGCAAAGCCTCTCATAAATTATTAACATTGAAATAATATATCTGAAACTAAAAAAAAAAATTCCTTGCTGTTACATTACCCTTGATTGAGCCCCACTAGGCATCCTACAACCTTCCTTCCATTGATTTTAGTTCACTTGTTGTTCCCTTGTCCCTGGCAAATGTGAAGAAAGCTGATGGTTCCCAGTTATCAAAAGATATAGCATCTGGGGTCTTAAGGACTTGAAGATAAACAAGTGGCCATATAGCTCAGAAACAAAAAGCCCACATGGAAAAAGCACACCAGACTTTGTTACAATGAGGTGTCAAATGGGATCAGGTCTCAGGCATCTAAGACCCAGAATAAAACCATACCCAAGGTGATTGGCGGGGTCAGGGAGGGGGAGGGGGAGCATGGAGTGGAGACCCAATGCCCATCTCTAGCCAATTGGACATCCACTCACAGAGAGGTCACAAGAAGAGACAAGCCAGTTAGGGTGCAGTATAGCACCGATGAAACACACAACTTTCCTCTAGTTCTTTGGTGCTTCCTTCACCCCATTATCATGACCTCACTTCTACTTTACAAATCAGATTCAAGCAGAACATCCACACTGCTACTGATAAGAGCCCACAACACAGGGAATCCAGGATAGATAAACAACCTCAGGGCCAACAAGGAGAGAAGAGATGCCAGGAGGATTAGGGGAGGGTGGGGGAAAAAAGGGGGAACCGATCACAAGGAACAACCTATAACCCCTTCGCAGGGAAAAGTGGATGCGGGATGATGGAGGGTGATGTAAGATATAGAAACAATAATCTATAATTTATCAAGGGTTCATGGGGGAGGGTGGGCAGGGGATGGACGATGAAGAAATGGGGAGCTGATATCAAGGGCTAAAGTGGGAAGAGAATGCTTTGAAAATGATTATGGCGACATATTTGCAAAGGTGCTTGACACACTGGAGGAATGTATGGATTGTGATATGAGATGTAAAAGTCCCCAATAAAAAGTATTAAAAAAAGATACGGAGAATCATGGTGACTTATGGAGTTTTAAGAAAATTGAGGAAAAGGCATGAAAGGTATGCTAAGACTTTAAAAAAAAATTTATGACAAGAATGCAACTGCTTCTTTTTCTTTTTTTAATTGTTTTATTAGGGGCTCATGGGACTCTTATCACAATCCATACATACATCAATTATGTAAAGCACATTTGTACTTCATTGCCCTCATCATTCTCAAAACATTTGCTCTCCACTTAA